GCAAATAATAATTAGTGGAGAACAGGGGCAATCATTGGATGACACCATCCTATCTCATAAATGCATGCAAAAGCCACTGCCAAATGAATCCTCGAAATACTGCATAAGCTTCCATGCATTACAATTACAGCAGGCAAGTTCAAGGGAAAAACCAAGGGCTTTGCTCCTCAGGAGGACCAATATGCAGGATCCATACCTCAGGCAGACCAATATGCAGCTATGAACTATCCGCAGGATCCATACAACTTGGAGACTGCATCTAAGGCAACACACTGACATTTTTTTTGAAGTAATATCTAAGCTTCCCTAGTCAATGAAAGTTCCTATATTGTTCACAGACACAACCAGATAAGAGATCCAGAACTTTTTCAAAGGTCGGAACCGGTAACTTCACTTGGTATTATCAATGGTGGATGTTGAAAGTACTATGAGATAGGGTGGGTAATGCTCTTTTTTTAGACAGATAATTTAATGATACGAATATATGTACATATACAAATAATATGCACATATACAAATAATATGCTTACAAATTGCAATCCGAGTCCAATGAATCTTAAACAATGGTAACCAAGTTCAAATTTAATAAAATATCTAAAGAAACTACAACATAGCCTTACAAAATACATATGAAAAGCATAGTTATCAAATTGAGATTCGTATCGAGAATCGAAATCCTAGATTTGAAAATCGAGAATCACATCGAATCGAGAATCGTAAGATTCAACACAAAATTCAAACAAAGATAAAAAATAACATGTACATGATTGTTCTCTGGATAGGCTGGGTGGTGTCCGATTAGCCATGATTTTGAACCAGATTTTTTTGTGATTCACAAGAGAATTCAGTACCAGCAACTTGATTAACCAACCAAGGCACAAAAGCTACTAACATTCGATTAAAAAAGGAAATTTTTATGAAAATCAAAAAACAGAATTAATTTGGAGAAGAAGAGGCGGAGGAGGAGGCACACCTGGAGTCGCAAATAGAGAGTTGTGTAATCCTTGAACTTGAACAGACGAGACGCGCATGCGTGAGAGAGAGACTAAGTTTTTAATTAGGATGTGGGTCCTCTACCATACAAACGACGTTGTTTGACTGTCTAAACTGCCAAACAACGTCGTTTTGATAGAAATATGGTTTTTTTTTTTTTTTTTTTAAAAAGCGAGAATCATACAATTGGTTAATCAAGTAAGATGCGAATCAAATTGGGACTATATCGAATCGAATTGTGAATCATTTGGTTTTGATAACAATGAAGGAAAGTATTACATCATTTAATATAATGTCGTTATATATGCAAATATGAGATCAGATCCTATTTTAATCAAATTTTTTGAATCAATATTGTGTAAGAAAAGAAGAGATGAAAAAAGGAGTCCCGTTTTTTAGAGCCCTTACCTTTTTAGCAGGCTACAACACCCCTGCAATTGGCTCCTGCAACAAGTAATGTGCAAGGGGCTCGTGGTGCAAGCAAATATGTATCATCAACTTTTACAAAAAAGCAAGCTGAACTCACATCCAATTCCTAACAAGTTCCAAGGTTTAAGATGTTGGAATGCCTAACATGCTTACCATACATTTTGCATTATCTTTTACCAAAGGGTTGGCCCCAACTATTAAGTGCAAGAAATAAAGTTTCACACAAATTGTCGATTTTTCTTCTTGAAAGATCTTGTAGTCCTCGTCCTAAGAGAAAGAAATCAACCTGAAGAATACATCCAAGATATTGAATCAAGCACCAAAATTTGCTACAATATTAAAATCGTCAAGGATTGCATAGAAAAAAGTATGTCAGACAACATAATCCATCAATGGCAAAAGCNTCAATATTAAATTCATCAAGGATTGCATAGAAAAAAGTATGTCAGACAACATAATCCATCAATGGCAAAAGCATTAATGCTCTAGAGGGGTAGAGCCAGAGTGCACCATTTAGTGGGGGAAACTAAAAAAAAAAAGAATCTCTAACCGATATTTACTAGTTTAAGCATGAGATATGTAATAAGATTNAAACAAAAAAGAATCTCTAACCGATATTTACTAGTTTAAGCATGAGATATGTAATAAGATTGAAGATCACATCACTATATGAAAAATGAACATAAGATCAATGATATATCAAAACAGATAAAATTCATCTATAATTATTAAATTTATCACTAATTTTTCTTTCAATATATACAATCAAAAAACCTGTGACAAAATCATCATCCATCATTTTGTGTAAGCATAATTAAGATCATCCTCAATCTTGTTGATAAATTGATCACAAAAAATATCATTGTGGATTAGTGTATTTTACCATTTTGTATCTAATCTTGTATACGATCCACTAACTTACCAAAAAGAACAAGGGCAAATTATACAAATTCTATTAAAAAATAGTAACTTTAGTAAATATATGCAAGGATCGAGATGTTTCAAAAAAAAAAATTATTTTTGCAGTCCCAAGAAGAAATTTTTTTTTTTTTTTTTGATGATGCTCTACAAGTTTGGCTACTTACTACTTCATCAACACTAGTTTCAAATACTTAAAAATCCATAATGAAGACTTTGAAAATATCAACAAATGAAATCGACTATGGTATCCTTTATAAAAGTTAGCATTTGGGCTAAGTAAATCATAGGTTTAGTTGGAGGTGCAACCCAAGCAAGTTGGTCGGGATGGGAAAACTAATGAAGCAAACACCCCACCTAAGACCAAACCTAAGTCCAGACACACAAGCCTAATTAAAGAGATAGGTCACTTTATAACACTAGTAGGTCAGCCAAGATAGAGATAGTGTGAGTTGTGTGAAAGTAGATGACTTGAGGATCAGAATTGAACACTGGCTCATAACCAAAAAAAAAAAAAAAAAATTGGCCAATGAAAAGTGGCAATCTAGATGGTAGCAAAGCACTCTCGGACTCTGTTGTACAGAACTATACCAATCTTGATGATGAAAAATTAAAACAAAAAAAAGGATAAAGAAGTAAAGATCATTGTGGCAACCAAAAGAAGACTTGTTGAAGGTTGATTGCACGTAAAGCATGTCATCAGAGTATTATTTGGACTCATGAACGTACCTCTAACAATAAAATCCCAAGGCGTCAACTTAAATGCATGGCTATGCATTGTGTTAGTAATCACCCAAAGGCACAGAGCTTTTTCAACCCAAGTTGAATACAGGGGAACAGATAATTTGTCAACATTGCCTTTAACACTATTCCAGACAATTGACACGTAACTTCACAAAACAGACAACCCACTAGAAAAAACCTTAAATGTGTTGTAGGTCTAAGGTGATATTGGGGTAGTGGAATGCAATCAGGCAAACTAAGGAAAATGATAGTTATAAGAAGTGCAAAAAATTCAGACCACTTTGCAATGTCGCTGAATGGTACTGAATGGTGACGGGCAATACGCTGCGAGTCAATTACAAGCCAAATTCGACTTAGACGGCTTTGTGTCAATCATGAATTGAGAGAAAGTTGTGTTTTACACGAATGTGTCAAGTTGGATAAAACTTGGTCCAATCTTGCCGGAATCAGATTCTTTGAACCATTATAGGCTAGCATAATCTACCAACAAGGCTCGTGATTATACAAACAGACTTGTGGCACATTGACATTGTAAATTTTCAAAGAAGCTGTGATAGATAACGCCTTTTTCAGCATCATATTCACTCCATAGAATATAGCAAAGCAACACATCTCAATAATCAGATTTAGGTTGAGTAACTAACACAAGTTTTCCAATAACTCTCAACCTCTCAAACATTGACCACAATAATTTCCATGCATGCAATCTTTGACTTTACATGGTCATAGGGAAAAAGGGCACGGGCATTTATAGATGACACCCTTCCAAACTCTTTTAACACATTTAAAAGCCTCTCTCAAATGAATTTTCAAAATGCTACAATGAATTACATGAAAGGTCAAGGGCAAAGACCAAGGGCTTTGCTCCTCATGCGGAACCATATGCAATGATGAACTATACAACTTGGTGACTGCATTTTTAAGCTGTAGTAATATTTATGCTTTACTGGTCAATGAATGTTCCTACGATGTTCCTAGTCAACAACTAGAAGAGATATCCAGAAAATTTCCGAAGGTCAGAATCCATGATTTAGAGTGGTAACCATGACTTCCGATGGTAATGTACTTCTTTCATACAGATGGAAAACTGGGAATTTAGAATATCTGGTGTGAGAAAACAGAGCCTAATCTAGCAGCCAGGAAATTTGAGTATCCAGGTTGGCAAAGAGGAGCAACACGACATATGATAGCAAAACGAATTGGATTCTGTCACATTTTTATCCTTTGTGCAAGCCTAATCCATAAATTATAACTTAATAAACAGTATCACCAATTAAAAAGAAGTCAATGTATGCTTCTTCCACCAAAAAAAAAATATATGCTTCTCCCACAATAATGACACTGACTGGATGAACCCATGCTTTTATCTAACATAGGCAGCCACCTTTAGCAGTATCGATATATCTTTGGACTATATGCAAATTTTGCCGGAAAAAAAAAAAGCAAAGCAGCTCTATTTCTGCCACACATTTCTTAAATTAGAAGGTTAGTAGGTATCTGGTAGTTAAGAAATAAAAGTATGCATTTNCGCCGGAAAAAAAAAAAAAAAGCAAAGCAGCTCTATTTCTGCCACACATTTCTTAAATTAGAAGGTTAGTAGGTATCTGGTAGTTAAGAAATAAAAGTATGCATTTATCGTGCTCAGACAAAATATTGACAGCTTAAAATCTGCAACTTTACAAACAATAGTTCTACACACTCCTCCTTCCAACTTGGAAAAGTAGTTGCGTCAAAATTAACTGAGTTGTCGTATTAATACCACGTTATGGCAAGTTAACAATAGGCACGCTACAGCATATCGAATTCATAATAAAAAAAAAATGAATAAAACCATGCAGACTAAATGCGGAGAACTGATGAAGAAAAAATGTTGAAAATAGATGGGGGATTCCCAGATTAATTTGAAACGACATCGTCGAAATAATAAGTTAAGTTTACGGCATACGTTTGCGAACACTATAGCATTGATGAAATTAGCATCCGAGTCTCATCAAAATAGCACTTCCTCTTCATCAAACTGAACAAAATATATTTGCACTTCAGTTTTACTAACCTCAGTTCAATTAAGCATTGCCATCATCACCATGGAAGTCCTTGCGGATATCATCAGAAATATAAACCCCAGGCTGAACCGCTCGCCGTCGAGTCCTCGACGGAAGAATGTTATCCATATCAACCTCCGCAAGCGGATCATCGGAGAGATCACTGTCGCCATCAGATCCAATAGAATCGTCTGATTCTTCTATCAATTTTCCTTTACCTCTATCCTCCACTAGAATCCCCTTGCCCTTACGATCAACGTCAGCTTTCTCATTCGAATGCTCATCTTCATCGTCATCGTCATCGTCATCGCCATCGTCCTCTTCATCATCTTCGCTTTCGTAATCCTCTTCTTCTTCGTCTTCGTCGTCGCCGTCCTCCTCTTCTTCTTCTACATGGTTGTGTTCGACTTCATCGATTTTTTCAACTTCGGGAACTGAGGAGTTGTTGTCCGAAGAAGTTTCGAGTTTTTGATGCTTTTTTGGATTGTTTTCTGAGGCCTGGACAATGCCTTCTTCTACGAAAGTGAGATCGGGCTTTCGCTTCGAAGGCAATGCATGTTCTTCCTCTTCTTCGTTCTTCCCTTGTGCCATGTGTAATCTTCTTCGATCACTTGGACAATCTAGGGTTCCAGGGCCCAAGTTGAACAAATACAGAGGAGGAGATAGAAAAACAGTAGGTTGGAGTGTGTAGGCCTTTTCGGAGGCAGGGGTTGATTGGTACTCAGTAAACAATCCAATATATAGATACTTTCCAGTAACCAGCCCTCACAATTCATGCTTGGTCCAAGCCCATTTGATTCACCATTAGGTTGTTTGAAATATTTAGGCCACAATTTAACATAATGGGCTACCACTTCTATGTAATTAGTGAAAATTGGGCTCCGTAGTCTTTACGAGAGTTATAATAAGTTTAATTCGTCAAGAAAATTTATTGGAGCATAAATTTATTTTTAATTTTATTAATAAATAATTAAGTTTTAAAACTCCAAAATACCTTTTTTTGAAAATAATTTTAAATTAATTTTCTAATTTGAGAATTATTCCTTAATTCACTATTAATAAAGATATGCCAAAAAAAATTTTTTGCATAAATTTAAATTTTAAATTCAAATAACAACTGATTCTCTCTCTATATATATATATATATACTAGTCATTGTCCGTACCTGAAGGCACTATGTTACTTATAAAACTTCAACACACAAAAATATGATGTTTGAATAACTACAACGCATAACGATTATATTGGTTTTGAACATTTTTTGTTAGTGCAATTGGTATCTTATTTTTTTTGTATTAGTCACTTATTTTTTTTTAATTGCTGATTAACTTGGACTTAGAATTTTTTTTTTAATTTTATAAGAACTATAGGTTTTCATATAGTAGTGATTTATTTTTGGTATAAATAATAACTTGATAATTTTTTTTATGGATTATAAAGACAATTTAAACTTCATTGATTGATAAGAAATAAAAAATAAACATTAATCATCGGTACTAAGATGCGTGATAAGAAAATTTATTTATAGTGTACTCTAAGTATGAATCAGTTTGTAATAAGAATGATAAAAAATTATATAGTAAGTATATAATAGTTTTTAATGAAATATTATACTAAATATTTTGAAAAAATCGATATACTAAATAATTTATATGTCAAAAAATGGTGACATTGTCTATTTGGGTACTGATTTTTGTGTTGTAGTGACGGTGTGTATGTGGTTATTGGAGTCAAATGTTAAACTGTCAAACTTTGAAAAAGAAGCACTAAACTTATAAATATTTTGTATTTTATATGTGTTTAATAAAAACATTTTTAATTTTATGCAAAATTTTATCGTAAAATTAGAAATTAAACAAAATCAACATAAATCAAGGTACAAACAATACATTTTTAACATATAACATTTAACAATAATCAGTTAATGACAATACATCTACAACTAAACCACACGAACGTTAATAATTAAAAACAATAAACTATTGTCAAATCATACACCACTAAATTAACACAAAAAAATCATCAATATTCATAAACACGCAAAAATGTTAAACATTTGCTAACTGCACAATTATAAAAATTAAACATAAAATATTTGATAACTACCCGCATAATTAGTTTGTCATCCTCCATAAAGCACACACCTGCAAAATTTCAACAAATAGGTATTGAGTATTGAAGCCTCACATGAGGCTAAACTCCACTTATACAATTTATGCTAGAAAGTAAATAGAGAGAAAAGAATTGGTTGTAAGCAATTGGTAATTCTAGCATTAGTTATAGATATAGACCCCACACATGATCTAATAAATGTGTCNCTTATACAATTTATGCTAGAAAGTAAATAGAGAGAAAAGAATTGGTTGTAAGCAATTGGTAATTCTAGCATTAGTTATAGATATATACCCCACACATGATCTAATAAATGTGTCAAATATGCCTTAAAGTTATATGATGATGAAGAAGAAGAATTTCCAGAAAAGTTCTAGGGTTATAATATTATTTTTGAAACTTAAGGAATAATAATGCTGTTTCTAAAAATTAAGGGGTAAAAATATAAATACACTAAAATTATGGGGGTATAAATGGAATTTGAGATGGTCTTCCTTGCTTTCTTTTCTGGACAACAGGAAGCCATTGTTGACAATTTTAAGATGTACATTTTTTGTTTGATTTATCCACTTGGACTATTATTATTAATTGTTATCACTAAAAATTCATCAATATAATTCAACTGTGGGTGGATAGTGGATGGGGGCGATGGCGGTGGCGAGGAGCAGAGGTGGTGGCTTACATCGCTTGAGCTGTGGGCAATATCTATGCATTAGTTTTACACCTATTATTATATTAGTCAAGTTACTACACCATCAAACAAATTACTTTATAAATGGTCAGAACCCAAATGGGGTGACAATATTTTTTTGTCACTATTTCTTCTTATTTTATTGATTTATGTGAGACTGATGAAACTTGCAACGTTTGTTTCAATTGCATGTTAATTATACCAGTGTCAAGTGTCAATATATACACATATTCACACTTACCATAGATGGAGAGATTATCAGGGAAAATACTTTCGAAAGTTAGATCACCGCTAATACAATTTGGATGAAAAATAGCGGATGGTCGGAGTGGATAAGTCCAGTAAGTCTCTAGATTATGTCATGCGTCGCTGAAGAAGGTTTGTTCATTGTTGGAGTCTGCACAGAGAGATAAGAGACTAAGGAGGATGACAATGATTTTTGAGAAACTAAGAGAGGTAAGACGGTTAATGGGGGAAAGAGAAAGAGTTTGGGCTATGTGCTAGACAAAATGGGTGGCGTGTGAGTGTAGTTAAATTGGGTGAGATTTTATTTTTGTGTGGGATGTGTTGTGAGCCATTAAATTAAGTTTGATAAATTTAAATGAAATTTAGATCATTTAATTTAAAATGAATTCAATCTGAGTGTTTTTTCAAATTTAAGATAGAGACTTATGAGAGATAGGAGTGTAGAGTTTTATGATAAGAGACTTCTTCATGGGCGGGAAAATAAATTCAGGACTAATTGTAGAAAGTTAGATCAAATTTTTTGAGATGATTTGAACCGTCTTTTATATTAGGATTACGTTGTCTGTTGGATGTATTTGTATTTTGTCTCAAAACGATCTGAATCTTTCTTTGTCTATTGGATTCAAACTTCGTTCTACTTTATTATATAAATAAATATATATATATACCATGTTACTATTCATGTTACTTTTTTTATGAGTATATTACTGTTTTTATTGAGCATAATACTACTGTTATCTTCTCAAATATTAATATTCAATGTTATTTTTTTTTATTTTAGAATATTATTATTTTGTTGTGTTTAAAAGTTATTATTTTTTTGTGTATTTGAATTATACTATTTTTTATATTTGAATTGTATTATTTTGTGTTTAAATGGTACATATAAGAGAAAAATAAATAATCCTATCAGTATATAGATATAGGATAGCTATGAAAGAGATAATTTTAATGTTAGTCAAATTTCTAAAATTTAAAAGTTTTTGGTTTTCAAATTTATTTTAAACATAACTATTATGAATATTTTAGACAATAAAAATAAAATAGATTTAATATTAAATAATTTTATTGAATAGACTTATCACCAATAAGGCCACGAACGGAATCCACCTCCAAATTTCCCTTGTAATTAACTTGGCCCAATTTCTGGGCTTTGGGGTTGCCTAACCTAGCACAATGGGGCGGGTTAGTATTAATAATCTTTTGTGAAAATTATCAAAATGTATAATTTAATCAATTTTTGTTGTCAATAACTAACAATCATGTACTTTTTAAGACCTTAAGTACATGTATATACAACACATGAGGGGTGTGGTCCTAAGTTATATACATCTTATTTTAATTAGCACATTTATAAGTCTCCTTAATCTTTGTTTTTTGTCAATTATTATATTTTTTTTCTCTCCTTTGTGTTTCCTCTATCTCTTGTTTCTTCGGAATTATTTATCAAAATACAACTATTTTAAAATATATATATCAAAATACAATATTTTTGAACTTATTTACTAAATTATGATGATTTTTAAAAACGAATTTAATAAGCCCACTTTTATTAAAAAACAGATTTAACAATCACACTTTTTTATAAAAAATTTAAAAAAAAAGTTGGTAGTGGAAAAATAGTGATTAGTAAACTTGATAATAAATGTGGAAAGAGTTTGTGTCCCCGCTTTTATCCACTACAAACTCTTTCTTAATAAAGTTGATAATAAAAAACTCTTTCTTATTTTTCTTCGTTAACTTTCTCTCTCTTTCTTATATTCCTCTTCTTCTTCTTCTTTTTTTTTTTATTTCGTCCCAATTATAGTGACAGCGACGCATCTACATAAACACAACCAAGTGATATAGTGGCAGTTACAATGACACTGTATAACCCTTGTGTTATTACCAATTCGTTGTTATATATATATATAAATACAATATAATTTAAATTTCAAAGATAAATAAAATATTTTTTTTTTTCGCGGTTGAGATGTTTTTAAATTTTACTTTAAAGTTAATCCGACGGCGAATATTAACATCTCAAATTTAATAAGAAAAGTAGACCCCTAAAGGTGTATTTGAGGTGATTTTTTAAAAGTGTTTTTAAAACTTATAATTTTTCATAAATACTTTAAAAAAAAATAGTGTTTATAATCGCCCTACCATCACCACTGCTATCGTCATTCACCATCGATTATTACTATTGTGGTCTACTCTCACCACCCACTACCATCGTCATCTCATTCTTATATTTATTACCACTATAATCATCATCCCACTACCACTGTCGCCCACTGTCAACACTTACCACCACGCATCGCCACCCATTACCATAACCCACCACCCACCCACCCATCGCTGTCACTCACTCGCACCACACTACTATCAACCATCACAACCACCCGTCATCTAAGCCTACCATCGTCACCGCTTACCACCGTCGTAGCCCTACCAACACCACTGTCAACCATCATCACTACTGTCACTTATGGATTCCATTATCACCATCGTCACCCAAAACTCACCATTACCATCAACGTTGTCACCCACATTTATCACCATCACTATGGTCGTCGCTATCAATTATAACAATCACCGTCTCCCACCACCAGTACTACCGCCCAATCAACACTACAACTGCTCACCCCCACTATAACTGATTCTTAAATTTCTTTCTCTTTCATCTATGTTTATAATTTAATTTTAGGTGTAAGTACAAATACATTTATTGTTGAATATTTTTTTTATTACTCTATACTTTTAAATACAGACAATAATTAATATATATCTATAGTAATCTTCGTACTCTCATGATTTGAGATATTTTTTTAGGTTTGCGTATATACCTATACATACTTTCAACTGGTAGTTAATGATTAGGGTCATGTAAGGCCTCACTTATGAATATTTAAACAAACAATATTTGTTTTGGATACATTACCATGTTACATGACTAATCACTCACAACCTCATATTTAATATATATATATAATATGACATATTTTAATAAATTTATCTGACGGTATAAAATAAATTCATCCAACAACCACTAACATAATTCTCAAAATGATTCACATTTCAACGTGCCTTCAGCCACGTGTGATACCTTGTGTGTGTGTGTGTGTGTATATATATATATATATATAAATCATGCATTTATTTACAAAAAACATGTAGTTCTTTTCTTTTTCAAGTAGAAGAATTAAATCCTACTTTTGACAATTTATTTTTATGAAGTCCTAAATTATAACAATCATATGCTTTGTTTCAATTTTATCCTTTTCTTACAAATATCATTTATATTCTTATAAATAATCTTACAACCAATTGGAATTTAGTTAAAAACATTATTTTGTATCCTTAAAGAGTTAAAATATTGCATAACTTAATAGAACAGATGGAATCAAAATTTATATCAAAGAGTAAAAAGGTTGTTATATTTGATATTTTTCAGAATATACAAGAAAATATGACCTTGACTAATTACATTGAATTATATAATTTTTAGCAAAATTGCAATGGTGTTTTAATGACAACGGAAAAATTGGAACAAAATAACATTCATGAAATCTAGGAACAAATTATCAAAAGAATAATTTAATTGTCCTGATAGAAATGTAATAAAACTTAATGATTCATAATAAGGAAAAGTGTAACTTGTTGGTCATTTCCCCTATTTTCAATTGCAAACCAAGTAATGCGATGTTAGTGCATTTTTGGCTAGTTTTTTTTTTTAATTTTTTTCAACCAAAATAATGTGGTTCTCCAAGTTAATGCCTCATAGGTTAGTTTCTTACATATATTTTCATTTATCGTAATTTTTATTAAAGAGAAATTTTAATTCATAGTTTCAATACAAGGTTTTATAATCGTGTATTCAAGTTATGTTTTTGTGAAAATTAAATTGGTGAAAAATGGAATTAGAAAATAAGGATGGTTTGCAAAATAATTTGACTTCGGCAACCTATTAAACATGTTTGATATCCTTTCTTAGGTCTTAAATTTGTTATTATAAATGAATAAAAATTACTAGATTAGTCCCATTAATTTTTTTTTCTAATGGGATTCAATCATTAAAGGGTCCTTATTCATTTGGAATTAAAATTGCAATTTTATTTGGGATTCAAAATATTGTCCTTGATTTTTGTAATTAAAATTCTAAAAAAATTTTAAAATTGAGAGGAAAAGCTTCCCCAAGTCTTTTACCTACTAATTTATTTATTTTATATATAAATAAATTTTAATAAATTAAGTTTTTTTAATTAATAAATTAAGTTTTTTTAATTAATAAATTAAATTAAATTAATATTATTATTTCTCCATCAAATTACGCCGACGTAGCATAAGCCAACTTAGGTGTTGTTTGGTAACCATTAGTTTTTATTATTATTTTTTTTGTTTTTGTTTTTATTTTATAGAAAATAAAAAAGCATGTGGTGCATATTTTTGTTTTTTTTTTTTTTAATTTTTCTGTTTTGAAAACAAGGTTAAAATATGAAAATATCAAAAAGATATTTTTGAAAACATCAAAAATTAAAACAAAAACAAAAAAACAAAATAGAATCATTTGCTTGAGTATAAAAGGCCCTCTCCTTGTTTCACCCATCTCTGTCAACTCTCTCTCAATGCCAACGACGAAGAAGAAGTTGAAGCCTTCGTCATCACCATCGCCAATCGCTGCGAAGGAGCTCTCAGATCCTCAAGCCCCATTACTCCATCTCTAATGTCAGATTTCACTCCATCTCCATCGAGCTCTCTCTGTACCTCCAAGTTCTAGATTTATGTATTTATATTGCATGTATATATATACATATATAGCCCTCTGTCTATGTATATATTGTTATATTTGAGTGTGTATGTGTGTGTGAGAGAGAGAGAACGAGAAAAAGAGAGAGAGGTGGGTTTCAGGGGGGTTCGGGGGCGCTGAGCAGTTGTCGGTGGGGGTGGGTTTCCGGGGGGGTGATGGATTTTGGTGGTGAGTGATATTTCGGTTGGGTTTTGGTGGTAGCTGGGTGGCTGGCTGCGGTGGTTGTAGGTTTTGGGTGTGTGTGGTTGGTGATGGTGGTATTGGGGTATATATTTTTTGTATAATACCAAACATGATTTTTATTTTTGTTTTCATAATTTTATTTTTGTTTTCATAATTTTTTAAGTATAAATGACTACTAAAAATGTTTTATATTTTTTATTTTTATAAAAAAATATAAAAATAAAAATATTACCAAATGCACCCTTAGACTTTTACAAACTAAAAACAATTTTATCACTAATGTGCCGAGGGACAATGCTCATTTAAAAAATACAAATATATGGAGTGAAATTTTTCGATATCGGTATTGGCGATTATTATTTTGTATGGTAAAGGTGTAATTTTGAAAGAGGAAGTTACAACTGTTCATGGGCGGTCATGATCGATTACAAACATTCACGATCAATTATGAAAAACGCAATATTGATCTCAATATTTCATGATTGATCATACTTTTTGAAGTATAACTAAAAATAACTTGAACTTCAACCTTTATTTTAATTACTCAAAATATATTTAAATATTATATTATCTATTTAAAAAAATATTTTTATAAGTTCACTCCAATCATACTCTCTATTTTAACTAACTATTTCTATTCACTTTCTATAATTTGAAAGAGATTGCAATATAGAGAGAGAATTTGGAGGGGTTGAATGACTCTCCAAATTTAAAGAACCATTTGGGTGAAATGAAAAAATGAGTGGGTTGGAAAATATTTTTAGTGTTTGCCTACATAAAATAACTAGAAAAGAAAAATAAAGAATGAGTTGAAGTTATTCTTACACTTTAAAAAAATTATAATTATTCCATAACTAAATCGCGGAGATATGCCGATACCCGTATAAGTTATATTTTTATACTAGTCATAATTCGGGCCTGAAGACACGATAAAATATAAAATTTGAGTATCCAAAAAATCGATCCCACTATATTAAATTTTTTTAAAATATATTAACTACAAATTAATTAAATATATTATAAAAATGAGTAATGTAATATTTTTACGGAGTAAATATATAAATGATTAAATATGTGATAAAAATAAATGATGTGATTTAATATTTGAGTCTGACAAAAGAATGATGAGTGAAATGATGTGATTTGACATTTGAGTCTGATAAAAAAATGATGAGTGAGATAAGTAATTGATGATAATTTAAAAAAAAAAAATATGAATGAAATAGAAGAAAAGCAGTTTCAGTTTTCCCCGCTTCCAATTCAAAAAACCGCTCTCTCTATCTCTCTGCCCCTTCTCTGAAAAGTAAAAACTCCACTTCTTTTTCCATGGAGGAAAGAGACACAGAGATTTAGAGAGAGAGAGAGAGAGAGAGAGGGGGGGGGGGGGAGATATCTGTAATCTGTCTCGTATTACAGGAAAGACGAAAACTTCAATAATACTTCCAAACAAACGCCATTGATTTCAGTTGCCAGAATTCAGAGCTTTTTCAACACCTGTACCTCCTCTCTCTCCTCACTCTCATCTCCACACTTCCATTCGTCATTCATTCCATTGGCCATAAACTCGCAAACCCACTTTCCCATTCTCTCCTTCCTTCCCTCTCTAAACTCCACCGTTCACACTAGTAAAAAGAGACTCCATCTACTAAACCTCGGTTTACACAATAATTTCTCTTAACACACATACAAACAAACGATTTAAAGGCTACCGTGAATGGATTTTGCACAAATGTCACTCGGATCAGACCTTGTTATCACCGTTTCTTTGTTAAATTCAGACAAATTTCCACTTACCTTCTATTTATCACCCCCATTTCACGATTGCCCATTGTCACTATTCATTACTACCCACAAAGAAAGACCAGAAAGGAAACCCTATCTCCACCCCCCTCCCCTAGTGCTTGCTACTAATGGAGAAAACCGAGGCGTATGGTTTGGTGGCAGGTGGTGGTTTTGGCATCGGAGAAGGGATCAACTTTGTCACACTGCAGGGGAACAATAATGTTCATAAAGAAACCAATTGTGACCCGGACGAGTCGTCAGATCCCACCGAGTTCACTCCGGACCTTGTCGCCGCGACGAGTTTCGGTGCCCAGAGGAAGAAGAGGTTGCCTAGACAGAGGCGATCTTCCGTCAACGTCCTGGCTTTCCCATCCTCAAGCTCCCACGTGACACCTCCCATCCCTACACGTGTAAGCCTTTTTGCCCTATATATATATATATATTTGTCTTTCCTCGTGCCTTGTATTTTTTTAAGTAATTTCTTTTTCCTAGTCTTCTAACTCCGTCCTGAATTGAGTTGCACAGGTGGTCCGATTTGGGAAAGCATTGTGGATTACTTTTTGTTTACACCTATGGCTCCTGTAACAGCTCCTTTTTTTTTTTTTAAATTTCAACAAGACTGGTCTCCAATTATTTTTGCTCCTCTTTTTTTTTTCTTTGTCAAATTAAATTAGGATAAAAATGAGGGAGGGTGGAGGGTTTGCCCTACTTGTACATTTCGCCAAGATCAAGTGCTGTATTGGACTTTTATTTATATTGGTTGATTTTGGGGAATAAAGTACAATGAAGACAGAAAATTGTTGGGAAAACTATGAAAATGGTGGCCATCATGGTCTCAAATCTTAGATAATTATTGTTGTCAAATTAAGGTTTATTGCACTACATGTATACCTCTGCAATCTTGGGGAAGTATGAAATATAGTACACCCAATTCACTTGTACGACCAATAAAGTCGGTACAAGGGAGAGGACATTGGGATTGTTTGTAACTTGGCCTGGGGTACATGTTTTTGAGAATTCTAGGAGAAATTAGACGTTACTTATTTAGGTCTACTAAGACTTCTGTTTTTCTCCTTTCTGGGAAAAAAAAAAAAATTTCTTTGTTCCCCTCTGGTTTATGTTTGGAGTCATCAAAGTAAACCGTGGTGAATTAGCATAAAAAGCTTAGAAATTGTAATTTAAAAGCAACCAAAAAAAGCATATTTGTTGATGTTGGATTTGAGAATTCTCCAAAACATAAACTTGCACAGGCAGTGGAGTAAGATGGAAAGCAGCAGCAGCAGAAAACCTTTGGAGTGGATTGATGGAAGCAAATCATGTGGTCCAAAGATGTTTGTGATTTGTGACGTGGAATGATTTTCTCATGATGAATATTTATCCATAAATTTGGCAAAAGAATGAATATGACATTAATTTCCAACGGGAACACGAAATTACTGTGACTGGAATAAGGAATTAGGTATGGATTAGTTATCCAATTTTTCATAGATATTAAATGGATCATTAGGCTGTCTGGTCATGAAGAGTTTGCTGGAGGGTGGCTATTTAAGTCTGTTGTGGCACTGTTGTGTATATGCATGTGGCTTGCATGATAACACAAACTCAATTTTACAAATCTCCTTACATTTTTGTCCTATGAACATGTTAAGTGGTTTGTGTGTGGATGCAGACTCCGGTGGCATCCTCTCTATTACATATAGGTTTTTTTTTTTGGTGTGGAGCAAAGGGGAGAACATTTAGAACTGATAAAAGTTAGGGAATGCACAAAGATCATTAGCAACATGTCATGACAGATGGAGATTTGTTATTTAACATAACATTTACATTGGTTTTGGATAATAAATAGTAATATATGTTTGAACACTGTTTTAAGTGATGTTTATTGTTTCTAACTTAACTTCACTTTGAAATATGAAGTAATATTTTGTTATAGTAGGCTGCCATTATGTTCTGTTATGAGGTAGACATATAAGGTAAAGGTAAAAAGGAACCTCCTAGTTTTTAATCTTTTTGGCTGAAATAAAAGGAAGTTTTTAACATACTTTTGTTTTGGGAATGTGAAACTTAGTATACTTATAGTTTGGAAACTTTGGTGCTTTTTTGAATAAAACTTGACTGCTTCAAAATTGTTGTCAAACTTTCTTTTACAAAGTGAATTGCATGAGGCATTTCTCCCATGAGTGTTTTGGAATTTCTATAGTTTGATGTCACATGTTATGTGAACTATCTTATTGTCTATGTTCGTCGCCTTTGTCGTGGACTATGGTATCAAGAACTCTTTAATGATGGACGAAATGTGCACAAGGAGTTAACGACAATTAAATATGAGAAGGAATTAAAACTGAATTAGGATTGAATTAAACCTTAACCAAGAATCAATTTAAAAATACAACACGAATGACTTTTAGCTGCGGTCAATAGAAAACTGCAGCCAATCTCACATAATAAGTAACTAGTGGCAACCATTATTCATTAAGAAACCACTACTAGATATAGTTGTGGCTTTCTTTGATTTGTTCAATTTTCACAGTAAAAGTAGGACAATAAACATGAATAGCGGTAGCTAGAAGAAACTGCCAAATTTTATTTTCTTTTGTTTTCCTTTTTTCTGTAAAATTTCCATGTGAGAGACACGGTGGCTTGCAAGTCTTTTGGGTAACTTGTCGGCCCTGTCATTTTCTAGTACCTGGATCATTTGTTTGAGGTCATGTTTTTGCAGGTTATTACCCAATTTAATGTTTTAATCGTTCTCTATTGTAGATTTTGTCCATGTAGGTTAAGTGCAATTCATTTACTATCAGCCTCAATCAAACATGCATTTAACCTGACATTTTCAATCCTCTGTCCTTTAGGTGACTGATCCAAGGAGGCTAAGATTTCTTTTTGAGAAGGAACTGAAGAACAGTGATGTAGGCTCCCTCAGGAGAATGATTCTCCCAAAGGTTTGCATATGAAACTTTTTCTTTCAGGATAATTATCTTATTGTCTGCTCGAATATCATATTTCTACATACGTTTTGATAATCAAAAGCTTCACCTGAACCGAGTTTTAACAGTATCTTGGAAAGCTGCAACTGTGATTCACTCGATTCAACTTTCAAGTATATCTGCATGTTGGTGAAATACTATTTCAAAGCTATTTCCTTTTGGTGTGTTTAATAACAGAAAGCAGCTGAGGCTTATCTCCCTGTTCTGCTGGCCAAAGAAGGGATGTTTATCAGTATGGATGATATGGATGGCCAGCATGTGTGGAACTTCAAGTTCAGGTTTGTGTTACATTTGTTCATCTTGATCACCAAAAGACAGCAGTCTATCTGGCAATTACCTGGGCCTTGCATATTTACACTTATTGGAAAAGTGAACAAAGTAATGAAAATGATATTGAGATCAACAAGAGAGTCATTGGAATAACAGTTTGTCTTTGTCTGATATCCTAGCAAGCTGCAAATGAAACATAGATGCAGAAATGTCAGATAATAGTTTGTCTTTTGTTTACCCATTTTGAAATATTTTACCTATGCTACTCTAAAGCCCAGATGAGATATTGCTTTTGTCATGAACAAAATACGAAGTCAATCACTTGAAATGTGAACTTTATTTGGATAGGAAGATGAGTTGTTTGTATATGCAAATCATGATATGCTACTGTCGATTCATATTTCCCACTTCTATACAGATACTGGCCAAATAACAACAGCCGAATGTATGTACTTGAAAATACCGGTGCGATCTTCAGACACTTGTTTCCCTTTTTCATTGTTGTTTTAGGTTCTCTGATGGCAACACCAAATTTCCTTATTTTTGTGAATCTCTTTAGGGGAATTTGTTAACACACATGGCTTACGGCATGGAGATTATATCGTGGTGTATCAAGACAATCAAAACCAGGATTACGTATGCAGTGCTGTTCCATGTCTCTATAATTTTGTCAAGTTTCCTTTTATAGAGTTTTAGCAACTTTATTTTGTAATACTTTGTTGTTGATATCAATCAGGTCATTGAGGCTAGGAAACTTACAGCTCAAGATATATACACTAATTATGAAGCTCATGCTTCGTATGCTGATTATGCAAGGAATGCTGTCAATGACTACTTTCTTAACTATTCTGAGGTAAATAAATCCAGTTACTTTCCAGAAAATGTCCCCATAATGGACGATGTGAGCATGCCTTTCATTTATGATACCACCTTCTCAAATGACTCACCACTTGATTTTTGGGCGGAACAATGAGCAACTACTCAAGGGCTGAACCACCCGCCAGCTTTGGATCTATTGAGAACCTGTCCATTGATGATTTCTATTAATCTTGTGGTGGTGTTGATGTATGAAATAGTAATCTCTAAAACTATTAGAGAGCATGTAATTTACATAATTTTATTACCATGTATGTATATAAAAAGTACCGGATGGCAAACGTGGTGAACTTCACGTTAATGTTGTCTAGACCTGGACAGATAAGAACTGCTAGTTATGGCGTCATAATCCCTGTAAATTAATTATGATGTCTGATGGTACACCCGAGTGGAAGTATCATAATCTATGATTTTTCCATATCTTTGAAGGGTGAATAAATCTAATCAAGCTTTGGTAGCATCTTTTTTGAAACATAAGCTTAGTTTGATGGCAATTAATATGTTGAATTTGAGAGTTCCATGAGATTATTGTTTCTGGTTCCTATTTACGACCTCCATATCCTGCCAGCAATAACAGTTGCTAATACCAAGTCTGATGTTTTCACTGTCTCAGAACATAGATCTAGTGTTGTTTGATTGAACCTGTATGCCAATGTATCTCTTAGTGATTTTTGTTTAGCTTTACTCTCAGTTGTTTGAGCTTTCTCAGGCATGGTTAAAATTTTGTTTCAGTCATGACATTTCAATGAAACATGATATGCAAGGTGGATTTGACGTTGCGACCTTTACTGACAATGCCCAGGCTGCCTGCACGCAATATGCGATTCAAGTGAAGGGAAATTTGGTCTTTGATGTGGTAGAAGCGTCCTTAGTTACCAGAAAAAAAACATTTTAAGAGAGAGAGAGAGAACCAGCGTTATCCCTGCATCCTCACTTTAATTGGCTGAATGAATATCACATGTCAACTGTATATGTAGGATGGAGCCAAGTATTAACCTCGATCAGTCCGTTACTTCTGATGCTTTCTCAAGGTGGGGACAAGGCATGATCCCACTATCAAAAAGAGAATTTATACCTATTCTAACCGAAAACTTCTTAACAATACAAAGGATAAAAGATAGCCCTTGGATATAGGAAACCAAAAATGGGCACAATCTTTGGATGCAAAAAAATACCTTTCAACTACCAAAAATGCCATTCAAGAAGCATCAGCTATTCTATGCTTATTGATCCTTTGATGAGGTACTGTCTCAGGTTCCGCAAATAAACTCTTCCAGTTGATTCTACGGCTTTGCAAGCTCAGTAGAAGAATGGGTTGGGGCAGCAACAGGAACACCACCGCCAGTGGTTCGCCTGGACAACATATTAAAAGCCCATTAGAAACTACCAAGTCAGCTTCCAACAAACAACTAAGCGCCTCTACATTACATACACATGCAGAGGCAGCCATGCACATATATGCTTGACAATGATCATAGATCCCCCATTGAGCCCCTGTGAGAGTTCCAATCATGACAATACCAAGGGGAAGACCACGTGTAAAGAGACCCCACACCCCAAGCTTGTTCACAGCCTGAACAATTGAAAAAATAAGGGGTAAAAACAAAGCATGGGATGAGTTGAAGGAAACCCGAGGCTCCAGTAAACAATGCAAAACTAGAGCACTTACATCACCAACAGTCGCTCCCTTAGCATTGTTGAGGAAAGAGACAAGATTGTCGGCAGGGTGAGACACAATAGCACAGAGAACACCGGCCACATATCCACCAGCAAAGCTCACTCCAAGTTGCAGAGCTTTGCTGCACTCTTCTTTGGGCTTAGGAATGGCATACTTGTAGATTAGTTCCACAATGGTCTCAAAAGATGCAAACTTCATCATTGTATCTGCGAAAAAAAAATGTCTCATTAAGATCCAAGAAACACCACTTGTAAAGATGTCTCATTAGTTCCACAGTGATTGATTTCACTGTGGGTTTCAATATTTACTAAGAACTATTATCTATTCAATGATTGAGATTATCAAGTCTAATTTTTAAGTCTATCTAACATTACTCTTACAATTATTTGAGAAATATTTAGAAAGTTAAAGAACTGAATCTAAAACTTTACTTTGGTTTTTTGGGAGGTTAATTGCATTAGAGGTCTTTAAAGTATGATATTTGTCTAATTTTGGTATCAATATTTCAATTACATAATTTTAATCCTTGAAGTATTTAATAATGTTTTTATATAATCTCGCAAACAAATAACGTTTAGATTATTAATGATTTTTGGTCATAAATTTGTCATATAATGCTTAAATATGGACAAAAAATAATTTAAATAGTTATTAACCAAAATTTAGATAACTTTTAATAGAAAAAAGTGAAATATGGGTAGTTATTTGACCAAAATTTAGATAGATTATGATAAAAAAATATGCAATTTGGATAGTTCTTTGACCAAAATTTAAATAAAAATTTGGTTAAAAGTTATCTAAATTATTTTTTTAATCATATTTAAGTATCACATGATAAGTTTATAATAAATTTTTTTTAGTAATTTGTAGGTTGTCTATTTGAAAGACTATATAGAAATATATTTAATAACGTATGGATCAAAGTGATGTAATTAAAATATTAGGGATCAAAATAAAACAAATCTCATACTTTTGAGACCTACATTGTAATTAACCCTTTTTTTGGGTGCGAGTTAGCTTGTTTCCTCCCTCCACCACATTTACCTTCTCCTTTCTTCAATTTGATTCCTTCTTCCACAATCGTGTTCACAACATTTTTGACATAGCCCGAAATCCACCTACACATGGAAGCTTGGAATTTTGAGGAAATCATAAGTCTCCCATTTAATTTCAACAGAATTATATTTGTTAAAGGCAATATTTTCTTCTTCGATAATGTTAATACGATTGAATTGTCGTCTTGGATAGAAAGAAAAAAAAGAAGAAGAAAAACGAAGTCTTGAGTATGCATGATTCCAGGGAAACAGGAACATGCATCATGGGTTTATATTTCAAAATATACATGTATCTCCTTATGTGTATTTATAAAAAAAAAATGTTAATTACAAACACAGCCCAAGGAAAGGAAGATCCTTAAAAACTATTGGGTGGGTGTCGTTCTGTCATCTAAAATTACAATGGACTTTGCTCCGAAACAGGAATGGGGAGCAAATTAAGCTTTTCTAAATTGTGGGAATAGATTTAGCCTTGATACAAGTTGCACTGATGCATGCGGTTTGAATATGACAAAAACGTCTTTTTATACGACACAATGGAGCTCCTGCTCTGCTCAGTTGACTCTCAATAAACAAAAAAGTTTTCAAACTTGTCAACCCATTTTAGTGTTCGGTTTTCTTTCACAGGTCGGCAGGTTCTTCTCTTCCCTGATCACAACAATACTTGTCCGATGGAGAACCAAAGAATATCTGGTTCATGGGGTTCAGGGAGATGGGATCTGCGGCATCTGCTACAACAATCTCACTGGCACTGCCTCAAGAAAACCCTCCTCGGTTAGTTCTCTCTCTCTCTCTCTCTCTCTCTCTCTCTGACACACACACAACACATAAGGCACTAGTTCGTTATTATCTCAAAGCAAAATAATGGGGAAAAAAAAAAGGTTTAAGAGTTATTCCTATGAATTTTCTGCAAAAAATCAGTCACTTTATATTTATAAAGGTAGAATATTTGCAGATGTGGACGAGAAAGTGAAGACCATGTTAAAACTAATAGAACAAGACAGCAATTCTTTAGAAGGATCCGAGATTTATTACCAGAGAAGACCGGAATTCAGACGTCTGTTTGAAGAGCTCAGCCAGTCTTACTGGTCTTTTGCTCGAAAATTTGACCAGTTGAAGTCTAAATCAACGCATGGTCCCAGTCCAGCACTTTTGTCTTCTGTTTCTAGGCCAAGAGAAATCCAAAATCAAACAAAAGGTATTCAAAGCTTTGATGACTCCAGCCTCATGGCTCGTTACTCCTATTCCCAATCATTTGCTGGAGATCCTGATGATGAGTATGATATTGCTAGCTCCAAATCCCTAAATAAATTACCCCTGGAATTGATGCCGACTGAACTGCATAACACGAGTTCAGAGCATCAAAAGTCGAAAAGTTTTCCCAATAAAGATGATTTTGCTAAGAAGTTGAATGGCTCTAAGTTAGATCGGAACATGGCTGGAGATTGGCCACCAGGTATTGTTGATTGCGAGATACCCTGGTCTGAACTGAAGATTCAAGTTATGAACCTCATGGAGGAGAATTTGCGGCAGCAGGAAGAGTTGGTGAGGAGAAATAATAATAAGCGAGAAATCATTAAAGAGCTTCAGTTCCAGATGCGTCTAGTAATGGGTGAGAACAGGGCACTCCCGGGTTGTCTCAGATGTTCAAAAATTCATGTGAAGCATAAACCGTCTCAGATATCAAGATTGAAATCGCTGATTATGAGAAGGCTTTGGGTAGATTCTCCATGACATGAGTCAACGACAATGTTTGTTGACAATACGACAGCTTTTCTTCTTACATCTAGCATCTATTCCAAATTCCTGAGAAAGCTTTGGGTAGATTCTCCATTACAAGTTTTCTGTTGTCTTGATGCATTTTTCCCCTTTTCTTATTCTTCCAAACTGTACAATCAAGAAACAAATGACTCACATTGCTTTCTTGAATGAATTAGCCTCACCACCACCATATTTTCCAGTCAGCAACTTCTATGATGTAAGTGAAAAATGAGCAATAATTTACAGTTCAAAATCTGCTCAAGCTTTTACAAGTATCACCAGTAATCCCCGCAGGAACATAAACCATCCCTAAAATGATGAAACCGTTTTGAATCTCTTACCACAATTTCTCGATTTGCAATCTTCGCAATCAATTTAATTGTTGTATGACAGTCACCACAAATCCTAAGATTCTTAATAACCTGTATTGTTGTACCGGGAACAGAATTTATAACTCCAAAGGCTACAGCCAACTTCTCACTATGAAATCTTAACATCATTCCCTTCTCTTCCTCGTCAACATCATGAAGAACTGATGTCATATTGGGTACATAGCCAGCTTCCTGCAACTTCACAGAAATTTCTTCCAAATATGCATAAATCTTGTCTCGTTGAGGATGTTCCCCATCTCCGACTAAGAATACATGAACTCTACCTTTTAATTCAACCAAACTGAATCCAGCTGGTTTAACTAGTCCATAATTTTTCATAAATATTCTCATCCTTTCCACATCTTCCCACCTTCCAGCATCGGCGTATATGTTGGAAAGCAAGACATAATACCCACAATTATTTGGATCTAATTCAAACAATTTCCTTGCAGAAATCTCCCCGAGCTCCACATTCTTGTGTGTTCTACATGCAGCAAGAAGAGAACCCCAAACCACAAAATCAGGCCTCACCTTCATTTTCTGGATCAAATCATAAGCCTTGTTGAGAAAACCCGCACGCCCAAGAAGATCGACCATGCAACCATAATGCTCCACCCCAGGTTCAATATTAAATTTGTGTTCCATGGCTTGGAACCAATGCCATCCTTCATCCAACAAACCAGCATGGCTACAAGCTGCTAGAACTGACACAAAAGTTATATAATTTGGTTTCACCCCAGCACGATTCATGTCATAGAAAACATCCAGAGCTTCTCTGGCATGGCCATGCATTCCATAACCGGCAATCATGGCCGTCCATGACTTCACATTCTTCTCCTTCATGCGAGCAAATGCCCTCCTCGCCATCCATGCTCTCCCACATTTGCAATACATGTCAATAATTGACGTACCCACATATACATTCTCCTCCAACCCCATCTTTACAACCTACAGAAAGAATCAGTAAAGGAAGCATTAAAACTTTACGCACAATGGGTTTATTTAAGCATGAATTTGAAAGGATGCAATAGGGTGATAAATTAGGATAAAAACGCTTGGCTATTATATAAACTCTATAACAGATTAATATGCAACTGACCAGTCAATTGCAATAACGACTACTTTACAGATTCATGGCACAAAGTCACCAGAGAGCAAACTCGAGAGTACCTGATCATGTATACACTTCCCCAATTGCAGAGCTCCTGAATGTGCACAGGCCAACAACACGGCAGACAAAGTCACGGCATTATAATCAACATCTCTATCTCGAACCATGCCATAAAACAGTTTCACTGCCTCATCCGACAACCCATGTTGCGCACACACTGCAATCATTGAATTCCAAGAAACTACATCCTTCTCAGTCATCTCATCAAACACCTTCCTAGACAGACCCACCTCACCATACTTGGCATAAGCATCCATTAGAGTATTCCCAACACCAACATTTTCCTCAAACCCCCTTTTTATCACAAACCCATGAACTCCTTCGGTAGTACCCTTTACAGAAACACGAGAACAAGCTGATAGAATTGAAACCATGGCAACCGAATCGATATACGCTTCCTTCTCCACCTCACTCTGACTCTCACAGTCACTGTCACTCTCGTCAATCAAGAACTCTTTGAAAAGCAATAAAGCTTCATGGGAATGATCGGTTTGGACATATCCAGTGATCATTGAAGTCCAAGACACAACGTTTCTTAGAGGAATTTCATCGAACATTGTTCTTGCGTCATTTAAGTTGCCACACTTCGAGTACATATCAATGAGAGCAGAAGACACAAAAAGGTCTGATTCGAAGCCAAAGACCAAAGCTTGTTGGTGGGCTTGCTTACCCGAATTGAGATCGAATAAGGCCGAGCATGATTTGATGGCACAAGGGAAGGTCGAACGGTTTGGTTTGAGAGAGAGCTTTCGCATGTACGAGAAAGCCCTGAGGGCTTCGACTGAGTCTCCATTCCGAGCCAACTCGGCGATGACTGAATTCCAGGACGAAACATTGGTTTTGTCCACGTACTTGTTGAACAAGGTAGTGAGGATGGGATTGGTTGAATACTGATGCGTATAGAGCCAGGAATAAACTGTGGTTAGTCCTGACTTCGTAACTGAAACCTTCATTCATTCGTTTTGGTTTCTCGTTATTTTCTGCTCCTTTTCGCTAGCATATAAATAAATTTCTCGGATTCGATCAATTTTCTAAATTTCAAAATTTTGTCAGGTTACATTGCTGTTTCTAGGAGACTTTTTTTTCAAGGGTCAGGTCAAGTGTTCAGACAAATTTAACTATTATTCTCATTTTTAGTTAAAAATAAGTTATGCACGTCGAAAATAAAATATTTAACTTTCTCGTTCGAAACTCACTTGCCCCGTCATTAGCATAATGAGCCCATCATATTGTTAAAAGGAGGGTGGGGTTTTTTTTTCTTTTTTTTCACTCTATCTAAAACATATCATTTTAAATATAGCCTACTTCCACATGGGAAAAAATGTTATCTAGTGTGCGTGACTTGATCTAAAATTATGTCAGAGTATGAATAATTCTCTAGCCAGTCGTCACATTAAGGATAATGTCGGTTGAGCTTGTGAACTTCTAAGAAAATGGTATGAGGAAAAAGGGTATGGGTCTTGTGGTTGAAATGAGTTGGGTAAAGTGATTTTCCTGTATGCTTGATCTATTAAATGAGACACATTTCCAGATGGACATTCCTTTCCTTTCAAGCATGAAATTAGTCTCTCATACACACAATTTTGAAGTTTTGCCAAGCAGCAATAATGAAAATTGGACAGACAACAATGGCCCAGAGAATCAAAAAGAACAAAACAATTGATACAATGTTGTCATAGGCTGATAGAAAGGCACAACGCGGAGGGAAAGTTCCAAAAGAAGCAGTAGAAGACATACAAGTCTGAGGCTGCTTACATGTAAAATGAACTTGTTCAGTCAACATTGGTTACAAACAAAAAATATAACCCCGCACCCAATATCGCAATGCCGCCGTCAAACTTTGCTGAACTGGACAAACTATTTCCCACAAACTCGCCAGAGCTTGGAATCGGTGCAGATGCTTCTAACCTGGGAGGAACTGCCGAACTTGGAGGCTGTTGGGTACTTGGGGAAGGAAAGAATGAGGAAATGTTGGGTGCGGTTACATATGGTAAAACCGCCGGAGACGCTGAGAGTGTAGGCACACTTTCTGCAAACAGGCAATTTAGATCAGAAAAGAAGATCATCATGCAGACGATAGGCAAAAACTTAACAGTGATGGCCGCCATGAAGACCTGACAATTTCAGTTCAAGTGATGGAGAGATGTGGTGGAGAAGATTGGGTGAACTGGTAGGTGGGATAAGAGGGTTGTTTTTGTGTGATTTGTTTGGTAGTTATATTATCAAATGTCACGGGGTAGACAGTGGGAGTTTTACGTCTGTTGTCTTTTAGTTTTGTCCTTTTTTTTATTTTGTCCCTTGATGTGTCTCGTGTTGTCGTAACTATAAGACAGTCAATTCTGAATTCATGAACGCAATAGGTACTGTGCAATGGCAAAACAACAATGGAATTCACTGTCGTCTTGGTTGTAGTGGGGGTTCCCAGAGTACTAGTGAAAGTGGAGTGACACCATTGCTTACATCTATCAAGAAGAAAGAAGAAACCATATAAGAGCCCCTAACCTGGGGTGACCAGAAATACTACCTTGGTAAGTGAATTCACCAACCTTGATCAAAATGGGCGACAAGAAAATTATCTCTGTATCAACTAGATCAAGGGGTATGAGGGTTTTTACTCAGCCAATGGAGTTGGAAGTCGATTCTAAAATGTCTCCTGGCAGCTTTCCGTTTACATCCTTAGAAGTGAGAGCAAGGAAGGGCGTGCCATAGTAAAGAAACGTTCAATGACCGATAGTCTCGTCTTACGATGCGTTGAATTCAGGGTGCATGAAGTAACAAGCCTACCAGTTACGACACGCAATGCCAATTCTTTTACTCAAACAATTTTCTTGGTTGTCCTATAAAGAGAACAGAGAAGAAAAGGAACACAGCTGTATTTCCCAGCAACAAGTTATTAAACTCTCAAAGTGGGTAATACACATCCCACTCTAGAACAACACAACTAGTCAATGCTACAAATCAAAAGAATCAACCGAGGCCAAGACCCAACTCCAGCATCAATTCTCTTTTCTCTGGAGTGAAGTAAGCTGGCAATAAATATAACAGAAGTTACAAAAGAGCAAAAGCAGCACCACGTTATGTGATACCAAGAGCTGCAGGATACAGTTTAAATTCCTGTGTTTCTATGATGACAGTTTGCAGCCAGTAATTATCCACTCATTTTCCATATCCCTGGTTTCAAATGATGGATCTCATATATGCTTGCTAGAGAAGCCTAAGGTGTGAAGTATCATTCAATCTCTTTATCTGCCAACCCATTTTCCATGAATGTTGCAACACTGTCACCGAAGAATCTTCTATGCAAATCTTATGCGAGACCACAGGGCTGCAACCAAGGAGGCCAGTGAGAAGACACTTAATTGGCACCGAGTGAGTGAACACACCAATAAACGAGGAGACAAAGGAAGAGGCTCTCCTGACATTTATTTCATGAATGGAGCCTTGGTTAGAAGGTTCCCGAGGGGACATTTCGTCATCAGCCTCATGATCTCCAGTTGTACTCATGAACTGCAGCTTGCTCTTACCAGATTTTTTCCTAGGAATTCCTTGCCGGTGCCTGTGAAGCAGATCCCAATGGGCTGGGAGAGACTGTCCATCCCTGTCATGAATCGAGTTTGTATGGGTGTGAGAAATTCGGTGTGTAAAACCCTGGCTCTCGTTAGGATCTGGTATGGAGAAATCAGTTCTCAGTTTTTCTGGCAATCCCATAACTGTTCCGTTTAGGAACTGAACCATTCGGAATTCTACCTGTCTCAGGGATTCTCCTGATGGAGCAGAGAAATCAGGTTGCAATCTGTCCATTAAGCTCAAAATTTCAGGTGTGTAAATTTCTGAACGGTGGCAACCCTCCCAATGCCCCTGACTCAGCTCAACAAGTGCATCTGAGGATTGTATCTGTTCCTCCGAAAAATCCATCTCCTGCATGATTTAATGTGCAGACATCTTGTTTAATCGAAGTTAAAAAGCAATTTGAAGTTTACAACTGCAAATATTTATCATGCCACATCAAATAACAGGCCCCACCCACTATCCTTTTAACAGCTGTACCAAAAGGAGAAATTAAAAGGCAATATTGAATGGCATCGTCAACAAATGACTAGTTTCAATAACTTAGTTATCTGCTAAGTAGCCATCTGATATCTACAAAGGTACACATCTGTAACAATCAGATCCTTCACATGATCACATCCTGAAAGAAGTAAGTAAAGCCACAGTGTCCACAAGTGATAGCTCTAATTATGAAGGAAGATGGAAAACAAAACTGCAAAAATGAAAACTCATACCAGAGATTCCATCTACTGGATACAAATAAAGGAAAGATTCCCTGCCTTAAAGAATCCAACTTATTAAGTTGGAAGTAAACAAAAATGGAATTGTTAGTAAGGTTAATTTTGTCGCTTACAAGCCTAAACTTTACATTTGCCTGCACAACAGCAATTTTCTGAAGGCAAACCAGAGGCGGATTTGAAAGTAAGGGTTCAGTAGTGCAGAAAAAGTGAGAAAATAGCAAAACGGTTTCAATAAATAATCTCTAGAAGTTTCTAAGTTCTAACTTCTAAGTCTCAGCCAAGAAAAATAGAACTAACCAACTAAAACAGGAAACAATGTTGTCCCAGGATAAATACCCCATTTGATTGTTTCTTGGATTACGACTTCGGATCAATATCTTCATGGCATACAGATCAGCAATAGACATATACATTCAGATATTAAGAGACAGAAGATAAAATCAGCCTCCGTGGTTATGTTTAATGAACCCTTCTCTAGATCTCTTGATCATGTAGAGATACGAAACTCAAGTACCCATCTTTAAAGAGGCATGCATATACACATTATAAATGACGTTCTTGGCCTCTTGTAGCCAAAGCACAGAGCAAGATTGGAAGCAGAACCACATGAATGTGATTGCCAAAATACAGAGAGCGTGGGAGCGCTTATAGGCATGTGGGGACATACATTTTTCTGGTCTTAAAGCATTGGCCGAAGTCAACTTCTGTGTACTACAGAACTCCATGTTCATGGGCCGCCAGAATTGTCACAGTCAATTGGTATTTCTATTTTGGGAAATTGTCCAATTGATATCTCATTTGTCAGAGACAGAAGAGGTTGTCATATATCTCTCATGTACAAGCTTTATTGCCTCAAATTTGTAAGTGAAAGTATACAAATTTGGTGCTAAGTAAAAAAGTACACATATTTCTAAACAAGCAGAGAGCTACAAAATGTATCTTGAAGGTCTTGGGTTTGAATCTCTATATACTCATAACATTTTAACATGCCCTCACAAGATGTTCTCATTCATATATAATTGCTTCTCATGGGACAAGTACAAAACTTTGCTTGTGAATTCTCAAAATGTTTGATCTGAGCTCTGACAATGAGCAACCGTGGGTTCCAATGTGAAGCCAGCATACACCCACCATGATAGTGCGGCAGGTTAGCATGCACCCATGTTCCAATGGGGCATTGGACCCTGCAATCATGGAGTAGGAAGGGAAACGACCTACCATTGAGGTGACTCTCATAAGATTAAAAGCTTATGTCACTTCAGGAGTTATGAGATCAAATATGAAGACGATGTCTTGTGAAGGTTTGATAATATATCGGAAGTGATAATCTCAACATTTATATAATGGAAAACGGAAAATAATTGCTTATAAGGATATCATCATATCATGATGTGCTTTAAGAATGCATATTGTTCTCAATTGATCTACTACTATCAAATCACCCTCGTCAATTTTCCCAGATGCTCATGAACTGTAAGCCTTACACCAAATAAAAACACACAGATTTTTAAAGTCGCTCAGAAACAAGGTCTCCACATGCGGAGTCAATGCTGGGTACATCACCTGAGGCCCACTGGCAGGAGTCTTGTGCTATAAACAACAATTGCTTTACTAGAAAAGAAGAACGAAGGAATACAAATTGACTAATTTACCTGGCATACAGAAATAGCAGTTGCTCGAGCCCGATCCAATGGCGAGGTATAAACATTGTTGAATATAACTCCTTGTGACTTCAAGAAAACCGCCAAAGCTCTCGCTTGCCTCTTCCCATTCGGCGTCAGTGCCGATTCAGGGCACCTCCCAGCAATCAAATCAGGCCTCAGATTCATGTGGCACTCCCCGTGACAAATCAAATACACCTCCGTCACCGTCCGATCCTCGTCCACCCCTTCCGACGAGAAACTCCGTGGGAATTGCGGAGACAATACATGGTACGGGTCCCACACCTTGATCGATGGCCCGATTCGCGGAGTCCCGAGAGACGACAACTGAGGGGACAGCGGCGATGCTGAGGCGTGGCAAGGTAACATTTCGGGTTCTTGTTGTAAGACCTTCTAACCAAATTGTCATCACTCAGTTCTCTTCTCTGGTTTTCGACATTATCATCATCTTCTTCAGCTTCCTCATCATCATCATCTTCTTCTTCTTGGGATACTTGTGCGGACTGTGAAGCACCCATTTAGAGCTGAAATCTTACTCAGATCTCTCCGATCTACGCATATTTCAATAGCAAATTCAATGATCTTGAATTTAAGTAATACGGTTGAACAATTGTGACTGTGACACAGTATAAACAAAGGTTAGTGAAAACAATGAAGCTTGAAAAATGGGTATTTGGAATTGGATCGGTAGTCTTTGCTGTCAGTATGAATGGAGATGAGTCAGATCTGGAGGGCGTAGGGAATAGATCTGGACGGTAGCGTTATTTCTCTCTCTCTCTGTAATCTCTCTCATATTTGTCTGCCTGTTCGTGTCTTTATGTGGTTATTTCTGTCGGATGGACCGACGACCGAATCTAATTAAAACTGGAAGAGATTCATTCGCCCATGTTTACAGCTTCCTGCTTATTTGTGATGGGGCGATGTTTGTGCGTCCGGTAAAGGCCCATCACTGTTTTAGGAGTAAAGTAGTGTTATTCAAGTTGATAATTTGATGATGACTAAAAAAATGGATAATTTGATTATGAGTTCTTTGAAAGTAGGTATATCTAATTAAATTTTTTTGGTAAAAAGTATAAAGAACAAGATATTTTGAAAAAAAAATACATAGCGGAGTTACAAATACATAAATGCTCATTTTAAGGTCATTTAATTTAAAAATCTTTTTATTTTTAATGTACTTTGATTCATGTGTTTGTTATATATATTAATGTACCTTGATTCATGTATATTTTTGTTTTGGAAAGTGATTTTGTTTTCAAATTATATTTAATGCATCTTAATTCAAGCGATTTTTTTTTTGGAAAATAAATTTTTTTTTAAATTAATTTCATATCCGAATAATGTAATAGTGTAACAAATATACTGTAACAAAAACATTGTTCAGTAGTTTTGTGTATATAATAACAAATTCAAAATGGAGATGAACTATTTTGAATGAAATTATATGAAACTATATGTTTGACAAAATGTAATAGTATAATATTTTTGTGTAATTAACTTGTTACACTATTATACTATTCGGATATTAAATTAATTTAAAAATAAAATTATTTTTCAAAAAAAAAAAAATGAATCAGTGCATTAAATATAATTCAAAATTTAGATAAGAGATTTAACAATAAGTATATACATACATAATTATTATATAAGTGTATATATACATATTTATATATATAGCACATGAATCAATGTATGTATATATATATATAAATAACGCATGACTCAATGTGTGGTATATATATATATATATGTGTGTGTGTGTTTGTTTGAATTTAAAATTATATATATATATATATATATATTAAAGTTCTCTTATAAAATTATGAGATGTTTAATGTACCACTTTCCAAATAAAAGTGGTTCATTAAATATACATGAATTAATAGAGGGCAAAAATATTATAAAAAAAAGTAAAATTCAAATAATGTATTTAGATACAAATAA